TCTCTCTCTCTCTCTCTCTCTCTCTCTCTCTCTCTCTCTCTCTCTCTCTCTCTCTCTCTCTCTCTCTCTCTCTCTCTCTCTCTCTCTCTCGCTGGTTGTACTTCGATTTGTGAATGCTAATCTATGTGATCTGATTTCGGTGGTTCAACCATCACGAGCCTGCTCGTTTGGTTCGCCGTATCATTCCTACCTTGGATTCACGTTTTAACCACCGCGCTATTCGCAGAATGGTGAACACGTGACTTCTTTAGGTAAAAGAAAACACGTGCGCTGTTATTGATTCTAGCAGCGCAAAGTTACGTGCATTCGCAACGGGTTATGCTTTTTCCCTCTTCATCTCTCCTCTCTCTCTCCTCTCTCCCCCCTCTTATTTTTCGGTTTCCCATCTTTTTCCTCTCTTTCCTCTTTCTTTCCCTATCGTCTTCCCTCCTTTCTTTACGCCCATCCCGTATCATCCTTTGAATAGGCTCTCCAGATTTATTGCGAGGTATTTGTGAGCTAACTTAGTCTGTCGTATTTGTGTTTGCGAGGAACTCTCGGAATCATGGCGAACGGTGGACAAGGAGGAGCACCGGATCGTAATTGTTACAACGGCGGCCTTTTTGGACATTTTACCCGATGGTGCCCCTTTCCCCGCAACAATGGGTATGGAGGTGCTCCAAGGAACGACGGATACGTGCAGGGTAACGGAGTTGGACAGCGCAATGATGGCTATGTGCAGGGGCGTTCGATACTACCACCGCCGCTGTCTCCACCTCAACCACCCCAGCAGGCTCTTGCGCTGCAAGCGTCTTCTTCGATCGTACAACCACTGATTCTACAGGGTCCTGCTTCAGCTTCGGCGGTCTCCAACGCCATCGTCCCTTACCAACCCCCTCGCTTCAATGGGGGGAACGCTCCTCGAGTATGGAACAATCGTCCGCAGCAGCCGAGTGAGGGTGAGGCGATGCAAATCTTACGCGAGATGTGGAACGACCGGCGTGAAGAGAGAGAAAGGAGGCGGGAAGAAGAGGACCGTAGGTTGAGGGAAGAACAGGCAAGGCAAGCACGGGAAGAAGAGAAAAAAAGACTGGAGGATGAGGAGAAGAGGGAAGCCGATCGTGAGGCGAGATTGGCTAGAATCTTCCGAGAGCAAATGGAGGCTATGGAAGCCAACAAAAAGAAGGACGGTGCATCTGACGCAAGCAAGACGAATTGGGAGAAGATTGATCCGGCCGCACAGGAGGGTGAAGTAAAGAAAACGGGTGAAGGGAGTGAGAACAGGAAGTGCGACCAAGGTGCTATGGCTGACAATGAAAATACCTCCCAACAGCAAGGTAGTGGGAGGCCAAGGGTCGAGAATGGAGCTACCCCTCTCGACACAGGCTTGCTTAGAATGAATATTGACGGTGTTAGGAAAGCGCAAGAGGGGCAAGCGTGTATGTTCCAGCAGATGTTAGGATCCCTCGAAGCTATCAAGCAGCAAGGAGCTGTTCTGGCCGCTCACACGATTTCTCCTCAGTTTCAGGCACAAGGCATGCCTCCTTTTCCGATTCCAAACCCACCTGCTGCCGCTTCCAGCGCTCCTGCTCCTCCAATCTACCATCCTCCTCCAGTCCCTCCACCTCCTGTTCCCGCTTCCCAACCAACAGCTTCGCAACCATCTGCTTCCCAACCTCCCCCTCGCGCTCCCCCTCCCCCTCCCCCTGCTAACCCTCCTGCTGCCCCTGGGACACCTGTTCCCACTACCACTCCATCTAATCCTCCTCCGCCTGCCCCTACTAGACGAACGGCAGCGACGGAACCTGGTCCCTCTAGGGTCCGAATGGACCAATCTGAGACTCCCTCGAGAGGATTCTCAGCCAGGTTAGTAGGGATGTTTGCCTCTGTGGCTGGGAATGGCGGCAAAAGGCGTGCGTTTGGCATTACGATTAGAGATGAACCACCCCGGCAAGAGATGGGGTTTGATTGGATTAAGCATGGAAAGAAGGCAGCGGTCGCCGACCGCGACAAGGAAGGAAGGAAGAAGTACGTTAAGGAGCTGACCGAAATGCTGTTTGGGAAAACCAAACACGAGCTTGAAGAACTCTGTAAGAAGGACAAGATTAAGTATGTGAACAAGAAGATTATCAGTGTTGCACTGACACGTCTGCGTGCGGTGGAGGCTTATGGCGAGTACGAGGATGAGGAGGAGGAGGAAGACTCCGAGGAGGATGTTTAAGAAGATAACCCTTCTTAATGATCTGTGGACGTCCGTTCCTCCTGGGCTTCTCTCGAAAAAACTAGATCTGAGCGGAAGAGGATCGGTTGGCATGGTAAGGAAACATTCGATCTGCACCAATTAATGATTTTTCTCGTAGTATCCCTCGTTCTTTCTGGTCACCTACGTTGGGGAGATAAGTTTGGAGATTTTTGGAAAGGATCTCTGGGTATCAAGATCGATATATGTGGGTATGTTGGACCTTGTGTGTACGTCCTAATTTCTCCATGGTATAAAGCATCCTATATAGGTTCTACATCACGATCTCTGAAGGTGAGGTGGGAGGAGCATGTTCGAAGGTCGTTACAATCTAGGGATGGCAGGAACCATAAGGTGACGAAATGGTTTCAACGGGTGGATTGGTCTAGTTACGTTGCCATTCCGATTTCCCTTTCCCCTGAGGAAGACATTCGTGACGTAGAGTCTGCTCTCATCGCTAAGTGGTCCCCTATGTTCAACTGTGTAAAAAAGAAGAGGTCCCCGCGTCGGAGAATGGTCGGAGGGAACGGATCGCCTTTCAAAAAACGAAGGCTGGGTTCGTAAGACATGGCTCATTTGGAGGAAGGATTATTACATGGGATGTGCGTTCTGTTTCCCTTCCAGTTCCCGATCCTTGGATTCCTCGCTCTCCCTCTTTCTCTTTTGTGGATGTTTTAAACAATTTGTATGATGATGGTTGTCTGCATGTCAACATTAAGTGCTCAGGCGGGGATTGATTTTTTTATTCCTTTTGTAAGTTGCGCCGTTTGTTTGGCTGGTCTATCATTGAAGTTGATGGACAAAAGAAGGTTATGAAGGAACTTAAGTCATATTTGCTTTCAGGCGGCGTGTTTTGTGGTATGAAGCTGCGGAGAAAGAGTAGCCTCCGTATCCTCCGGCGGGACATGTTAGCCACACTACTGCAGGTTCCTCATACCAGGGCGGGATTGTATAAGAATGGTTTGAGAAGTCTGGTCATGCTTTACAATAGCATTGATTTTTTTCACAGCGAACGTTCCAAGACCATCTTAAAAGGTGTGGTAGGAAGAGCCCTCACGTCTGCCAGTGGTTTCAGATGTTTGGCCCCTGTCGTAGTGAAGGTTACCTTCGATGATCGTATCCGAAAGTGTCGAGTGTTGGAACTGGCTAAACGGATTGTGCGGAAGCGTTTCTCTAACGACGTTCTGGCTGAATTAATCATTTCAAGAATGAGGATTGTCTGGACTAGTTGTAAGTCTATGTCCGATAGGCTCCACAACCACCGGTTGAGCGCACCTACGTCTGTGTATGAGTGCTCGTGTTCTGAATGTGATGAAGAGCTTCCTAGGAACAATGATGGACATGTTTCCTTTAGCTTTTTTAAATTTCCAGTCCCTCTTCTGTTACGAAATAGCAAAAATATTCCTCGTCCTCAGCTCTCTACTTCTGTCGGGAGGCTGAAGAAGTCACTTGTGGAGGGCCTAGCGCCTAGTAAGGAGAATTGGGTGGGTAGTCTTAAAAATCTTGAATCCTGTTTTGTCCATACCTCTGGTTCAGAGACGACAGATGAGGATCTGGTAGGGGAATGGAAACATAGACTAAAAGGATTGGTTATTTCTCTTGTTGACCATAACATAGGTGATTCCTACGTTTGCTGTGCGCTGATCTATCATAGTGCTCTCAAGCACCTCTATTGGGGAAGTGATGGCTTTGTGATTGATAACAGAACTGAACAGAAATTTTTGGACGAATGTAAAGAAAGTTATCGCCGTATAGGCGCTCAAAACATTGCACCACGGAACAACCGAGGTGTTTTATGATCTGTTTATGAAATTCCCAAGCACAAGGACACCAATAGATGGCGGCCTGTCGCGCCTTCATAAGCCGAGTGTCCGAGGATGTAACTTGGTGTCCAAAGCAATTAATGGACTGTTGTGGCGAATTCCGGAAACGTGTCATTTCAATTTGAGAAGTACTGTGAAGATGAAGGAACATATCGACAAGCTTGACCGCAAGTTACAGAAGATGCATGATGGTTTGCTATTATCTGCTAGCTTCGACATAAAAGAAAGGTTTACGCAACTGACGCATGATGACATTGTTGCAGCCGTAGAGTGGCTGTGTGGTTATTTTGTGGGGAAAGGCCACAGAGCTATCAAAGTTAATAAGTTGGGTAAAGGGACTGTGTTGGGCAAAGGTTATGGTGAGAAGGGATGAGCCCGTCTAACGTTTTCAGGGGTAGTTGATTTTGTAAAATTTGATCTAGATCATACTTTCTCCAGGGTCTCCAACCTTATCATCAGACAAGTTATCGACATTCCCATGGGGAAGAGCTCGAGCCCTGCTCTTGCCTGCCTCCTCTGTGCCTTCCATGAGTTTTCCTTCCTTAGCTCATTGGGACGAGATAGGAGACTGATTTCTAGCTTAAGATTGGTAGATGATGTCGCCCTCTTTCTTATACTGCCTCGAGTGAATTCATCACCAGAGCAAAAGAGACATTTTTGAAATTTCTCTCTGTTTACAACAGGAACCTGACACTTGTCCGAACAGACGATGGAAATGGCACACTTGAGTTCTTAGGATGTCTTGTGAGAAGTCAGGCGATGCCGCCCGCTGTTTGGTGCGAAGCAAGAATGAAGAACCAAGATTCTGTATGGAAAGACGATGAGGTACTCATCCAATCGACACAAGACTATTGTTCCTACTGACCAAAGACTCAGAAGATTGGCCTCGTGAAGTGTCATTTTAATAGGATTCTGACTCAATCCTCCGATTCCAGAGGAGTGGGTCAATGCTTGCTTTCTATGCGACGGGAGCTGAGGTATAAGGGCTTCCCGAACCATATCTTCCAACAGTCCCTATGTGACTTCTCCCACAAGAATGCAGGCTGCTGGACCTTTTGGGTGGGTTGGTTCTCTGAGGGTCTGTTTGAGGGGTTTTCCGGGAGGCGGGTTTGTAGAAGACCTGTTATGGGTCCCAGATCTGTCACAAGATCTGTTGTGGACTTGCTGGATTACGACACGAGGAAGGAAATGTGTTTAGACTGTAAACACGGGAGGGGATCAGGTTGGGATCTTTTTCGATAGGTGGGTATGAAGAGGACCAGTTTTCGGTCCCATATTCTGCCACAGGGTCTTTTATGAACTGGTTGATTGCGCCGAGTAGGAAACATGATTAGATTGAGAACGCATTTTTAGCAAAAACGCTCCTCCGCATCCCTCTGCCATCTTCCTTTCGGTGGTCTTCCTATAAGTTATTTCGTCTTATTCACCCTTAAGTTCGATTCTCTGCCATGAGCAATCTCCCCCTGCTTCGCCATCCTGATGTACTCCCGTCTGTCCCACCCACGGTTCCCCGCCTCCCACTCTGCCTGCCCCGATCATGTCCTTTCTCCATCACCCTTCCTGTATGCCAACTATCTCCCTCTCGTCTCTTCCCATTGGGCATATCCCCTGTCTGCATACCCTGATTTCACGATATCTTTCGATCCAAGATAGCATGCCACTTCTCTGACGTGACAATTTTCCTCTGCTCATTCGCTCTGCGCTATCTCCCAACGTTCCCGCCCTAGCCTGCCTACCCCTTTCTTCTCAATGAAGGAGAACGACGAGACGAGCGTGGATCGTGCAAGTGCACATCCGTTGGCTCCTACTATTTAAGAAGGTTAGTTGTCTCTCCCTTCCTAAGCGCATTGGTTCCCCTGAGGTCCTGAGGATGGCTGCTACGGCGAGGCGGCCGAAACATATGTCGGGATGATCGCCGACTTTGTGCTTCATCGTTATATTATCCGAAACTATTTTGCGCTTATGTTTTTCTTTTCTCTCTCTCCCCCCCTATTCCTGATTTCTCCCC